GGAGAAACTTCCTGACAGTTAGAACAATTAACCAGTGGAACAACCTGCCTCCAGAAGCGGTGAATGCTCCAACACTGGAAGTTTTTAAGAAGAGACTGGACAGCCATTTGTCTGAAATGGTATAGGGTTTCCTGCCTGAGCAGGGGGTTGGACTCGATGACCTCCAAGGTCCCTTCCAACTTTATTATTATTATTATTAAAGGATGAGAAAATATGAGAAATGAGAGAGTGCTGTGGGAATTAAGTTTTCTGCAGAGTGATGGCACGGAGGAAAAAACTATCTTTTTATCTAGTAGTTTTGGCATGCATTTATGTCCAGGATGTCTATAGATATTTTCTCATCCCTCTTTCTGGTTCATGCAGTATACTGGTCTTCAGTGGAAGGCAGGTTGGTTGCAATTATTTTTTCTGCAGTCCTAACTATCCATTGAAATCTGTATCTATCCTGGAGTTGATGCAAGAAGAACATTTTTTGTTGTGCCTTTTTAGGAAGCTATAATAAGATTTGCGATAGGACTATAAGACTAGAAGGTGGTGGTAGCTTAGTAGCTCCAGTGACTCTGGGAGTAATGTCGGGATCCTCGTAGGGTTATTTCTGTCTGTACAGTTGGAAGGAAAAGAAATCCATGTGCAGATAAAACTGCAGGCATGATAGAAGCTAGCTCTCCCAAGACAAGGAAATGAGATGTAGAGGAAGACAATGGCAAACCACTTGTACCAAGGAAACTACATGGACAGGGCTGAAACACTGAGAGAGGTTAGAGTGCCAGCTTGGAAAGTGCTCTCTAGTCAGGGGAACTTTCTTGAGTAGAACTAGAGTTGATTCAGCGAGACAAAGGACCACAAGGAAACCTGTGAATGTTGTTGGTACTGAAGGAGAAGTTCATTCACTAGACTTGCATTCTGCCTTTTGTCCATGGTTCAAGGAAGTACCTGTCCCGCTTGTTCTGGTGTTTCTGGTACTTTCCTTCTCACCTACATGTAAGATAGTGCTGGCCCAGTGAGAGTCTATGGATGAGGAGGGATTTCCTGATCCAAATCTGATTAGGCTAACTCTTTTCCGCTTGGTAATTAAACCTGTGAGGCGTGTAGAATAGGAAACTTTTTGGTAATTTTGAAGCAAATATAAAAACAATGGAGAAAAACATGCTACATATACATATGTTAATACCTTTTAGAAATGGAACTATCAATGACACCCTTTCTGTATGCTTTGAGGCCCAAATGAAGGATGAAGATCAAGCAACCTCTAAGTCAAAAACTCAGAAGAGGAAGCAAGCCCATGTATAAAAGGGAAGCAAGGCCCTATTCATCCTGAGAATATTAATATTCTCCTCACATTGCATGACATTTGTTCATTACTTGATGACCCGAATGGCTTGTTTTGGACCAGGAAAGTCAAGATTCAATCCTTACTCTATACTCTCCTGACAGATCACAGAGCCTAACCTCACAACCTACTTGTGAGGACAAACTGAGGGGAATCCCGAATAAAGTTGTCAGAACTTAAACCTCTAAGTAGAAAACAACCCTTGACTCCATTTGCTGAGAAAGGTATATTTTTATTAG